TTAGTTCAGAGTGAAATAGGGGATCTGGCTTTAAGCCTGAGTATAACTTTAAATACTCATGAATAGAATAGATAGGCCAAGAGAAAAGGCCCAGTAGAAAAATATTTACTTTTAAATTTAACTCTGCCCCTTACATAAAGTTTCCTTTTAGTGGTACACCAGAGCTGTGTTTCTGAAACTTCAAATGTGCACATGAATCATCTAGGGATCTTGTTAAAATGTAAATTGTGATTAAATAAATCTAAAAGTTAGAATCTGAGATTCTGCATTTCTACCCATGTATGTGAATATTACCAGTTCTTGGACCAACTTTGAGTAGAAAAAAAAGCTTTGAGGATTATAGGTAGACTATGTGAAAAATCATACTTTGTGAATGTTAAAATATATATCACTTTGTACACTGGTTGACAATAGTTGGGGTTTCAATTTGTATTTTTAAAAAATTCCAAGTATGACAAATTATGTTTCAGAAATCTTTTATGAGAGACTGGAGAGAAGGAAGGGTTAGGGAAGGGCACTCTTCAGGTTCTAAGGTAGATAAAAGGAATGACTTCTCAAGTTCTGCTTGTGCATAGGGCAGTAGCGGCAAACTGTGGTATGGGCTCTGCAGCAGCAATGCAGAGCCCTGTCTGTCAGCAGGCCAGTCAGGGCCCCAGCATCACCCCAGAAGCAAGATATTAGACAGCAGTGCACACAGGAGCAATGCACATGCATGAAAGCCACTCAGGCTCTGAAAGGTTCACCATCACTGGCACTGGGTGACTGTAAGTATTGATAATGTACTGTGTATTTCAAAAGCGCTTAGACAAAAGGCTTTGGCAGTTTTTACCACAAAGAAATGATAAATATTTGAGAAGTTTAACCCCACTTGACCATTATATAATGTATGAAAATAAACATAAATACGCACGATTTTGATGTCATCAATTAAAAAATTTTAAAAAGTCAAGACCGCAAGATAGCCTTATATTTCTCACTTTTTAGCAAAAACTAAATAAAACTGGGAATTGGAAAGATAACACAAAAGGGATATTCATACTAAACAATTATGCTGTGGTTTGGATGCCTTGAAAGATTAGCTTCTGTAATACTATCCCGAATAAAAAACAGAAAACATCCTGGTTTTTCAGAAGTTTGTACAGTTAGACCTAATCATAGATAGTTAGCTGTATAGATCACCTCGGCCCGACTAAAACAGGAATAATAAATTACAAATAGAAGACATTTGGCCTCAGGCACACTGGGAACAGCAAGAAGTAATGACTGTGAGGAAAGAAATTACAAACTAATAAGAACAGAAGGTATAGCTCAGTGGTACAGCATTTTCCTTGCACATACAAGGCCTTATGCTTGACCCTCAACATGAAAAAAAATTAAGCAAAACTACAGACATCGGTTATATAAATGTCTTCACTTTCCCAGGGAAACTGTTCTTTTTCACTGATGCTGACATTTTCTAAAGGAAAATAATTCGTAGGTATAATCTCTGATTTATAAAGCATTTCTGTGTTCCTTATCCAAAGTTCAATCAACAATGCCCTATTCAAGGAAAATTGCATTCTCTCTGAGGTTCCATTCCCCAACACTTTGGCCAGTTTTTCACCATGGTATTGTCAGTTTGCTGCATGATGTGTAAGAGTTTCACCACATAGCAGAAGATGCATAGCAGCTCCCTCCTATGAAGAAAAACTTTCCAGTCTTTTAGATTTTGCATAGAATGACTCACTGTCATAGACACAGAGTATCAACACCTTACTTGCTTCTATGATAGATCTCTTTTCAAATGTTCTGGAGCCACCATGACTACAGCACTGGAAATCTGCTTCAGAGATGCCAAACACCCCTCAGACTCACCTGTACCTAAATTTAATACTTTGTCTCTTTCCTGCTGTTTAACTTCTCTCGCCTGTTTGAGAGCATACATGATTCATAAATGCAAGATGCCACTGTTAAACAGATATGCATGAATGAAAATAGTGTGGTTCTATTACAGAGAGAAAGAAATGACACAAGACAAAAATTTGAGTAGCTGACAAGTTGTTCTGGCAGTAATATTCCTTTGAAATATAAATTGAAAGCAAAAAAAAGAAAATAATACCAATTTCTGACCAAGTCCTGAATCCAGTCAATACCAAATCGTGAAGCCATTTAAATGTGAAATAGCAATGAAAGAATTGACTCTGAAAACATTCAAGATGCAGGTATAAGAAATATTTAATGATGGCAGAACCACACACATGGCAGGGAGTATCACACACATGCAGACGGTTCTTGGCTATAGTCCTTGGTAATTTGGGTCAGCTTCCCCCAAGTAGGTGGCCTCATAATGAAGCAGCGCTTCACTCTCTTAGTTTTTTACCTAAGAGATCTTTAAGCTTTGAGGAAAACTGAGCAGTATTTCCCCTCCTCCGTAGAAACACTTGTGTGGTGCACCAGGCGTGATTTTAAATGGTGGAGATAATTGCTTAATTCAAGCTGTAGCAACTGGCCAAGTAAACAGGTAGCAGCCAGGAAGCTATTAGCATGATTTTGAGGCAATTATTCCATTAGTGTTTAATAGTCTCCAATTAGTCTTCTCTGACTATCAAAGTTTGAATGTGTGTTTTTCCTCCAAATATTCTGAGTGTTGAATAATTCAGAATAGTACCAAACCCATTTTTATTCCTGGTTGCATATCGTGTATATGTATCTCCAAATGTCTTTTACAGAATCATGAGGGTATAAAGGAGTACAGATTTTGTGATGTACGACGTGTGTGTGTTTCTCAGAAATACTGAAGTGAAAATCCACTTTGAATATTTTATTTACAGGGGTTGTGAATGCAATAGAAATTTCCATGGCATCCCAATGCCATCATCTTTATGTCTTTATTCAAAGCTTACCAAAATATCAAAATCTCTAACACCAAGTTCTCATGTTAGCCCATGGGGAGAAAAGAAAAATTATCCTAGGTCCTTGATATCTCACTCTGGTTCATACTTGTGCAGAATCATCTAGACACAAATCCTAAAGCTTTTCCCTCCAGAATTCATAGGAGACCTTCTGTAAAGTCCAGTTTAGAGCTTACCACACAGATTGTAGGTCTATTTATTTATGTTGAGTTTCCCTTTTTTTTTTATCTAATAATTGAAGATAGCACACTTCACAGAGTTTTTGGAAGAATATGAGGAACATAGCTTTGAAAAGTGATGTACTAGGTAGACTCAGATGGGGTATCCTTATCATCCCTCAGAACTAGCTATGCCAATTTAGGCTTTTAACTTCCCTGCATGTCTAGAGTATGCTATCAAAAGACTGCCATCCTTCACCTTCTCTGTGTACATGAATGTGCAAGTGAGACAGTTACAGTTTAAAAGCCATGTAAAAACTAATGAAGAAAAGGGATGAGAGTCTGTAGATGTAAGGGTGGAATTTTGCCAACAAAGTTGTGTACTTTCTACTGTGTCCTACAAAAGAGCAATGCTCAGGCTCACCCAGGTAAGCGGGGAGTGAAGCTGTGTTGTTCTTTTTTTTAGAGACCTTTGGGCCCTTGGGAGCAAAAGGAGACAGTCATTCCTGCAAAAGGTGCTCATAGGGCTGCCTGTGTCTATCATTTTTGCCTAATACCCACTTAATTAGCAACCACTGGTTTAAATTACTGCTGGATTCCAGCACTGTTTCTTGAGATTTTCAGGAAAAGAGTCGGTTTTTTTTTCCTTTGGGGGGGTGTCTTTAGGGTTATTTTTCTTCTTCTTTTTCTTTTTATTCTTCATTATGTTTTTTTCCAGTGACTGAGATAAGGCAATAGGTGGGCCACAACAAGAGAACAGAGACCAGAGAGTTAAAATCTTAGGAACTCAGCTTGCTCTGGATGGAAGGTGGACTGTCCACCAGTAATTTGCCCTCCAACCTGGTCTTGAAAGGATCAGGTGTGATCTCCATCAGCCCGGGTGCACAGCTTGTTGGTGAGGAAGTAAAACCCTGTGCCTAGCTGTCATCTTTGTAGGCTGTCCTGAAAAGACCCTCCCTCCTGCAGAGCTGCGCTGGGCACTGCTGCGCACTCTTGACCCAGAAACCTGCCCAGTCCTCTGGTCCAAGTCGTGTGTGCCATACTGAAGCCTCTTGAAAACCATTCATCTTCCTTACTTTGCCGCAGATTCTTCTTCTAGGCTGTCTGGACGCAGCTCAGTCGCCTTTCCCCCCACCATTAGCCCTATAATCCCACCGGACGTGGCTGATCATGCAGGTCTCCTTCCCAGTCAGTCCTGAGCAGAAACGCAGAGTCCAGAACGGTTTGCTTTCCTGACCCGGCCGCCTAACGTTGCTGCCCCGCGCTTCGACCGCACTCCAGACCTCGGCCCCTCGGCCTGGCCCTCCGAGACGCGATCGTGGAAACGCTGACCTCCGCTCCTCGCCCCTCCTGCGTCGCGTCAAGGGCAGAGATCTAGCAGCTGCGTGTCCCTGAACTTTCATCACTCTTCGGGAAGAGCTTTGTCTCTTTGAAGGAGACTGGGGACGAACGTTAAGGACTGGAGTAGGTTCCACCCGATAAACTACCAAACGTGCTCAATTCCGTGCCAGAGGTGGTCTCGGAGACCCTTGTGGAAGCTGAGGCTTCAGGACACCAGCTCGCGCTCACCGCACACGATCCCCCACAGATTCAGAAAGCACCCTCCCACTCCCTGGATCTGCAGGGAGAGCCATGGAGGGGGCACGAGGTGCCCCCCTAGAACCCAGTTTCTTTCCTGCCCCAGCCCTGTGCATGCAGGCAGCTTGCTTGTAACGCCCCAGGAAAGCAGTCACCTTGACTCCGGGCGCCACCGTCCCCAGAGGTTCGGAAAACGCCCGGAAACCCAAGGCTGCCAGGCACGCGCGAGCTTGGCCCGCGACCCACCCCTGAGGGCGAGTTTCCCTCCCTCGGGCACCCTGGCAAGTTCCCACTTAGTGGCGGATAGAGCAGGGCGGGGCGGCTGGAGCGGGCGGCCGGCGCCGGGCGAGCAGTCTCCGCGCGCCTAGCCTACCTGGGATGGCCAGATTGGTGAGGGGGATGCTGTGGATGCTCTCGGGCAGAGTTGCCATCCAGTCGGCGAATTTCAGCTCGTTTCTCCCCTGAGACGAGGCCATCGTGCAGGTCGGCGTGCGGCGCGCTGGTCCCCGCGCTCCTGGGCAGGCTGGCAGGCTGGCAATCTGGCAGGCTGCTGCCGCTAATCCAATGTTTGCTAGGGGCCCCGGCTAGAGTTTACACTCCGCTCTGCGCCACACCCACAGGATGGCGCAGACACATGCTAATTTTAATAATTATTCAAAACACCCCATGCTCTCTGAGTGCCTCCGCCAGACTCCACAGGAGCTTTTGTTCCTGACGTCCGCGCTCCAGTGTCTCTGCCTTCCCCTTCCTCCCGCTCCCTCCTCCACTCTTAACCCTCCTCCGTGCCTCTGCCTTTCCTTGCCATTCTACAGCTTTTCTAGGCTTCTCATTCTTTCCTTCCTTTTCTAAAAACTTGATTCCCCAAGCTGTTTTTCCATGCTCTTGCTCTGGTTTTTGGTGTGACTTCCTGGTCCTGTCTGCATGAAAGGCAGTCTGAAGGCTGAACCTAAAATTCTAGTAGACTTTATTGAGGATGCTATTGCCTCCTGAGTAGCAGACTTGAACGCTGGCTTTCGGGACTTTGCATTCTTACCAGAGAGGGCTCTTTTTGGTAAGGGACAACAGGTTATGCCTTTTGTCTTTTCTCAGCTGGAGCCCGCAGCCCAGCTTATACAAAATGGTGATCTTTACTCACCACTTTGCCTAATTTTTGAAATAGCTAAAGGAGGGGGTATTAGGGACAGGTAGTGAATTCTAGGTAATTCTAATTAAACTCCAATGTCCTATTCCAGAGCTTTCATAGTAAAGAAACACTAAATGTCATTAGGAGAAATCCATTTCTATGGAGAAAGCTGTCTATGTCCTCTCTGGTTTTATGGCACTCAGGGCAAGCCTAATGATAAGGTAAGAAAACCATCACATCTCCCAATGACGTGCTATAACTGTTGTAAGCAGCCTTCATTGGAATATATTTGGCACAACTCAAAGACTGATTTTGCCTTCCTTGTCAGACTAGAGAGCTCTACCTCTCTCAAGAGAAACCACACTTCGAGCTTCGAAAGCACTGTCTGGGTCCACCTACTCTCAAATGACAAAGAGGAAAGACAGCAGGTTTTACAAGTGTGATGAGACCAACAGTGGCTTAAGTTGAATATATTAGATGAACTAAAAGTGTGCAGGACCTTTGCGACCTAGAGAATGGAATTGCATTCTTTCATACAGTGGCTCATAAATTATTCTTTTGCTAAAAGAAATGCTATTTGGCTGGAAAAATAAGAAACAAAGGTAAGAGAAAGAGCCATGAAACCTAAGAATAACCATGTCAGTTCAAGAAACTACACTTAGTACTTTTTAAAACTCTAGAGTCTATTTATTTTGTGTAAGCATGCTGAGACCAACAGATATTCATTGTCAGTTGGGGAATGCTATAGGAAGGGGGAGAGAGATGATGCCTTATCCTTTAACAGAATTTTCCATTCTCTTCATAGAATCAATTCATAGAGGATATGATAGGGTTATCTTCAGGGATGAGAATGGGATGTATGGGATTTTTTTCCCCAAGCAAATTTTAATATTCATGCTAGCACAGCAGAAGCCATTTATCCTTTCAATAGAATAAAAATTTTGTTCCATATAAGATTCTTAGTCAACAGTCTTATAACCACCACCCTTCTGGCTAATACATACTCTCAGGGTACCACTGCTCTGCAAAGTACAACGCTGGGAGGCTCCTCTGCTTCTGAGTAGTTTAAGCAAATCCTCCAGTTCTGTCTGCCCCAATTTTCTCCATTATAAAATGATGCTAATAACTCCAAGATTTGTAGTGAAGCTTCCGGAAAAAAGTGCACATATCTTTGTTGAAATGACAGGTTATGTGTCTTATTTTTCTTGAACTTTTTAAGATGGCCCTTGAGTTTTAAAGTACTCTTTTTTAAGAGGCTGAAATAATTATTGAATCTGGGAAATATTGTTTAATATGATGCATTTTAAGAACATAGCCTCTTAAAATGTGTTAAGCTTAGAGGTCCCAAAAAGCTCATAAATGTTTTTAAAAAATTAAATCACCTTAAATGTTGAGTAAAGTTTCCTTTAGAAATAGTCATGTACTATCTTTTGATAAAACACACAAGTCTTTCTCTGTTTTATCTTCTTTGAATTTAAAGATATTTTAAAAATATGTTGGGTTAGCATAAATTATTACCTTTTTCTGCAAGTCATCCATGAGGACAGAGCTGAAACCTAATAATTCCAAATTTATTTCTTGCTTTGTAATTAGTGGTTTGAAAATATTTTATGGCCCAAATTCTCCAGATTTCTATCACCAACCCTGCTGCCATTTACCACCATGATGTTAGGAAAATCAGTAATTTCTCTGGGCTTTTTTTTGACACTATATTGAACTTCTCCGGTGAAATAGCATCAGAAATAGAAAATGAAGAAGGTTTAATTTACAGATTGACTTAGATGATTCCAAGTGCATCGGAGTCTACATCACGGACCAGCAAATGGCGAAGTTGGGAAGGACTTCTATGTTATAACCTTGAGATACAGTTGCTTTTTCTTCAGAATTTCTTCAGTATTTTTTCTAACGCTTCCAACCAATGTATGAAACCTATTGTAGTAGGTAATCTACAAATGATTGTGAATGTCAATCCACAAATATCTTTATAGTAACATTTACTCTGGTGCTTGACCAAACAGCAGGGTGTCATAGTCTAACCAAGTGGACAAAAAAGTAACACACTTGCTGGTAAACTAAAGAACTTGCTACTAATCAGTAAATCCTCTTTGAATTCTATAATTATAGAATTCTCTTTCCCTAATGATGCTTTCTGGTACAAATAGCTGTTGCAACTAGAAAGAGAAGGGACTTAAATATTTTCCTTTACATTTTTTTAATAAACGCAGACAATTTATAATAGAAGTGATTTCTCCCCAAGATTTAAAACATATTAATGATTTTAATTATGATATTCAAAATAGCCTACCTATAAAATCTAATTCTTTATAGTATAAATGAAAGCAGAGGATAATTTATTGTAGTATATTCATGCTACCACTACCTCTTGTTTATGTGATCCTGTGTTATCCATCAAACTTGTACCACACTGAACATTTCCTTGCTTTGTATTCTTTTACTCCTAAAAATCTAATGGCTATTTACTATGTGTTCTTTTTTATTTTACGTAACCTTTTTTAATTGTTGAAGATCTGTTTTTTAACTAAATTGATGTTGAATAATATACTCCAAGAAACAAGATTCTTACAAGTCAGAAAACATTAGAACACATTTCAAATGAATAGTATTTTAAAGTAGAAACTGTGCTCAAAATATTTCAGCCAGATTAGTTTTTAAATTCTCAGTGTTCAGAAACACACACACATAGTGTCCGACTGGAAGAAAACACACAAAGCGGAAGAGAGAATCTTTATAAAATCACCTATTAATAACCAATTTTTTGCTATTCTCTACAACTTCTACCTTACTCTATTATTTGTACTTAAAATACAGTCAAGTAATAACCCTCTTTCTTCCTTCCACTGTTGTAACTCTGCAGAGTTTTCTGTTCTTCCTCTCTTATATCTATTCCTATTATGTCAACAAAGCTAATTAAAATTCATGAATATAATCTAGTGGCTGAAATTTACAGAATCCACAGAACCTGAAGGCCTTGCCTCATATCTGGGCTTCCCAGGGGTAACTATTGTATGTTTCTTGTCATTACTGATTGTACTTCACAGTAGTATTGGGATATACTATGAAGATTCTATGCAGCTCAAATGAACTAAGAAATTTAATCAGAACTAAGACAGGTAAGGTTCATTTTGTCAACATACTTGACTGGGGAGCCACCCAGGGAACTGGGGGAGCACATTTCTGGATATGTCTAGGTGGGTCAAGAGAGTGTGACCAGTTCTATATCTGGACACTCACACATCCTTCTCTGGTGCAGCCTCTCTGCTTTTCTTTCTGGCCATGATGAACTAAGAAGCCTCGCTCCTTGACACCCTTCTGGAATTATGTTTCTGCCTTGTAGCCTTTCAATATGTACTGAATACCCTCAAACCATGAACTAATTTAACAAGTTCTTCCTTCCAGTTGTGGTGATATGTGTTGTGTCTTAGAAACAGGAAAGATGACTAATACATGGAGAAAAGCTCAAATAAACGTAGTTCCATTGCTGTCCTTGCTACCACTGTGCCTTTGCTTATGCTCGTAGTATGTGCTTTAAGTCATGATCTGTCAAAATCCTTTCTATACTAACAAGCTCCTCTTTGTAACTTTCGTTGTTATCCAAAAGTAAAAGTATCTTTCCTTCCTCTAAATACCCACTGAAGTTTGTTTATAGTTACTTTGTAGCATATTTCCAATTTCCTGGCTAGTTTTAAAGCATTATGTAGGCAGAGATAGTCATATTTGACACTGTATAATACCTCCCGTATTGCCTAGAACATAAATAAGAGTATATCTAATCACTTTATTTACTTACTTATTACATAAATATTGTTGAATCTATTATAGTATGGATTCTGTTTTAAAGAATGAATATATAGTAGCAAGTCTTTGAAATCTATGTTTATGTTGCAAGAAGAGAGTGTTAAATGATAACTTAATACCTAAATTAATGAATGACATGGTTAAATGTCTCTCCTCAATTTCAAATCCATCCATTCAGCATACCCATTTTTAACATTTTACCAAGTAACAAATCAATAAGACTCATACTTGGTGTATTTATGGAAATACATTTTGAAATAAAAATTGATTCAGAATTGTGTCCTCTAGTTTGTTACTTCTAACTTTCCTTCTTTGTTGTTATCTTGACAAACTCAGTGGTGACATTTGGAAATAATACATATTTGCTAGATCTCAAGGGTCACTACTCCAAATGTTTGTTTCCTCAAAGCAGAGAACTGATACCAATGGTGATAATCTAGGAAGGAAAAGGAAAATTCTTTCATGTTCATGTGCAAAATCAGAAAAATTCTTAAAATATTACTATCACTGTTACAGATTTAATCCCCTGATATACCAATGTTCACAACAGCATTATTTACAATTCCCAGAAGATGGAAACACCTCAAATGTCTATCTACAGAGAAATGGATAAACAAAATGTTTATGATATTACTCATGTATGATAACTATGACACATAATGAGATACTACTCAACTTTAAAGGCAGTAAAATAAGTCAGACACAAAAGACAAAAATGTATGACCCCACAGTATGAGTTAACTAAAATAATCAAATTTGTGGAGATGAAAGTTAAAATAATGGTTGGAGCAGAAATGAGAATAATAGCTATGAAATAAAAGAAAGATAATTTATTGTTTAATGTATATAGTGTTAATTTAACATCATTAAAATTTTCTGAAGTTGAGTGTATGGTGGTAATAGTTGTATAAACTACTCTGCACTTAAAAATAATTAGGAAAGTAAATTTTGTGTAGTATACTTTACTACACTA